GGGGGGGAGGTGGGGAGGGCTGGGGCTGCGGCTAGGGTTTAGGGCTGGTCTGGGGTTTGGAGCTTGGGCTGCTGGGGTTTGGGGCGGGGCTAGGGTTTGGGGGTTGGGGCTAGGGTTTAGGGTTTGGGGCAAGGGTTTCGCTTTTGCAGCTAGGGTTTAGGGTTTGTGCCGCGTGCGGGTTTAGGGTTTAGGGCTGCGCCGCGTGCCCAGCATGGGGCCAGAGGTCGTTGTGAGGGTTTGGGGTGTGGATCAGGGTTTAGGGTTTAGGGTTTAGGGTTTAGGGTTTAGGGTTTAGGGTTTGCTTTGCAGGAAATGCCGGTGTTTCGGCTGCGGGTGCCTCGGGAGGTTCGCGGGGTGCCCTCGGAGTTGCTGCTGCCGCAGCGAGCGTGGAAAGACAAAGAAGAATTAAAAATAAAAATAAATAAATTGGCAAATCTTTTTGTGGAAAACTTCAAACAATACGCGGAAAGAGCGCCTCCCGAGGTCCTCGGCGCGGGCCCGCTGCTCCCGGAGGCCGCCAAACCCTAAACCCTTTTTTAGGGTTTAGGGTTTGCGCAAACCCTAAACCCTTTTTTAGGGTTTGGGGTTTGCCGCGCTCCGGGCGCGGGTCGGGGCTTTTTCTTTATTTGGAAATGCAAGTGAAACTATCTGCGCGCCTGCTTGCTGCATGCATCTGAGGTGTACGGACACCTGGCGGACTTGAGAAAAGCGCTGTGTTTGTTTGCAGAACAAACACTTCTATAAATTGCAAACATTTTATATGTTTCGCATTTGTGCATTATATTGCATTATATTCAACTACTTATTATGTGAAGTTCCCACAAAGCCGAATGCCACATGGAGTGTATGTACACCGCAAGTGCACTTGATTGCAGTGTACGTACACCGCGTTATGTGCATTATGTGCAAAAGCCCTATTTGCAAATGTCGCGAATTGCACAAATTGCAACTGTTGAATAAATGAATGAAATGAATAAAATGAATGAAATGAATGAAATGAATGAATTAAAAAGATTAAATGAACTAAATGGACTAAAGGAATTGCACAAATGCACTTCTTGCACAAGTGCAGAAAGCGGCTGCCGCCGCGTTTCCGTGGAACTCTGACCAACACAAATAAAGATTGAAAAGGCGCCATCCTGCACTTCTTCTCCGCCACTTCCAATGCAAATAATGTTTCGTTTTTAATTCTTTTCTCCTTTTTGCAAACTTTCCAAATCTGCAAAAGTTGTGACGAGAAGTCACGGCGTTCTTCGCTGCGCCGCGCTGGGGTGTACGTACACCTCAGCGCGCGCGAACCCAGTCGAGTTTGGCACCCGCGATTCCTCCATTTATTATTTCTCCATTTATTATTATTAAATTATAAATATTATTATTATTATATTTCTATTATTAATTGATTTATTTGCTTCATTTCCCTCGAGTTTCTCAATTTCTGTATTTTGGCAACGGCGGCGACCATTTGGCTCAGTCACCGCACTTGTGATTATTTGCTGTTTCGACTTTGCTGCTGCTATTCTTCTCTTTGAAGTGTTTTATGGGCCTCTTTTGCTGCTGCTTTGCTTCATTTATTACTTTGCATTATTATTATTATTATAATTATTTTGCGGCATTTATTATTTTGCATTATTTTCCACTTTCTTTATTTGGATTATTTTCTCCACAAACAAAACCGAGAAAGCCGCGCATGCAATTCGGCGGACTCTTCCGTTCAAATTTTGCTTTTCGAATTCTTTTTAATTTCCTTTTATTTGCTGCTTCTTTTCAGAAATAAAAATATTTTTTAATTCATTTAATTTAATTTAATTTAATTTAATTTAATTTAATTTAACTCCGCAATTTAAACCTCCAAAGCAAACTCACGAGGGCTTTTACTTTTAGCACTTTTCAGAATTCCCTCAAGAGGAAAATGCCTTGTGGGGGAGCTAGGGTTTAGGGTTCAAACCCTAAACCCTAAAAGGGTGTTTAGCGCCCACTCAGCAGCTGCAGGAGGGCCCCCAAATCTTCTTCGCCACCGCAGTTTGCTGCTGCCCAGATTCTAGGGTTTAGGGTTTAGGGTTTAGGGTTTACGAAATCGAATGCTGCTGCACCAACTGCTGCCGCTGCACTACCTGCTGCTGCTGCATTACCTTCTGCTGCATTACATTCTGCTGCTGCATTACCTGCTGCTGCTGCATTAGCCGCTGCTGCAGTAGCTGCAGCTTCTGCATTCGCTGCTTGTGCTGCATTGCTGCTGCTGCTGCAGTAGCTCCTGCTGCTGCAGTGGCAGCAGCAGCAGCAGCAGCTCCTGCTGCAGTTGTCGCAGCTTCTGCATTAGCTGCTTGTGCTGGATTGCTGCTGCTGCAGTAGCTGCTGCTGCTGCAGTGGCAGCAGCAGCAGCAGCAGCAGCAGCTAGGGTTTGTGTATTTGTTTGCTAATAGAGCGGCACTGTGTGGGGCCGCGGCTCTACTGTTGTCATCTGAGGTGTACGCTGAGCTTTCTGAAAATAAATTAATTAAAAAGAATTTCAAACTCACAAACGAGTTATTCCCTTGCTGCTGCTGCAACTGCTGCAGCAGCAGCTGCTGCTGCTGCTGCTGTTGCATCTGCTGCAGCTGCTGCTGCTGCTGCTGCTGTTGGGTGAACATGGGCCTGAATACAGGCACCCACGGGGTGTACACCTGAGAATACCAAACTGCACTATTCATATTATTATTATTATTATTATTATTATTATTATTATTATTATTATTATTATTACTATTATTATTATTATTAATTATTATTATTATTTTTATTATTATTACTACTATATTATTATTATTATTATTATTAAAAGACTTAAATTTAAATAATTAAAAGAGGAAAAGTACCTGGCGAAAGGCGGGGCGGCTGCCGCTGACTGCTGCTGCCACTGGGGGAGCTGCTGTAGGGGTGACTGAGAACTCTTCGGTGACTTCGGGTTTTTCTTCTGAAAAGAAAAAAAGAAATAAAAAATAAAAGAAATAAAAATAAAATAAATAAAAATAAAATAAATAAAAGAAATAAAAGAAATAAAAGAAATAAAGAACACTTACCGACGATCCTGCATGCGCAGACACTGTCGCTCATGGGCGCCTGCAGATTCAAATTCAAATTCAAATTCAAGTTTTCAAGTTTTTGCAAAAACTCGAAAACGAGTACCAACAAAGTGCTCCCGACTTGCAAAAAGCTGGAAAGAAACAAAGAATTGAATTTCTTTTCTTTTTTGCGGTAAAAACCTCCGAAATCCCTTTCAAGGAGGGGGTGCCACGGGGCCCTTGGGGGGGGCGTTGGCGGGAAAGCTGAACATGAAAGAAGCGGAAAAGCGAGAAATAAAAAAGAAAATGAGATTAACATGGCTCGAGTTCAAAGTTTGCAACGAAAGTCGCAATTAGAAGTTCAAATTTAAACAAAGAAACGAAAGAATTGCAAAAGTGACGAAACCGCAGACGCGCCGTTGTCAGCTTTCCCAGAGCTGCCTATACACCCCAACGATGAACTCGGAAAGCTGGCAGTTTCCGAAGTTTTGAAGCCCACAGATGATTTATTTCGCAAAATAAAACTTAATTTTTGTTTATTTCGCCAAAATTCCGATAAAAGGCTGCGGAAAGTCAAGAAGTTCCTCCTGGGGTTACTCTGGAGTCTGTGCCGCGCAGCCTAGTCTTGCTGGCCTTTCTCCGGCCTTCCTCACAGTTAGTTCTTAATATAAAACTCAAAAGATAAAAATATTAACGAAGACTAAGCCTAAAGATGAAAATATAAAACTCAAAAGATGGAAATATTGATGAAGACAAAAGCCTTACGATGAATTGCAAACAGAGCAGTCCTGCATTTTGTTGCTGCTGCAGAAAGAAAAGGCATAAAACACTCGATTAAATGCACAAAATTGACATTTATTGCTAAATGGATTTAAATAAATGCAATTAATTCTCAAAATTCATTTAAATAAATGCTTTTTCAAAAAGTTTAGAACCGCCAGCTTCGCTGGAAAGGAAAGAGCAGCGGCGCGAGCGGTTCCAGGGGAGCTGAGGTGTATGAACAGCCCAGAATTAACAACTGAATGACTCAAAAATTGTTTTTTAATTTATTTTTTTATTTTCATTTTTTTGGATTTATTTTTGCTGCTGAGCTGCTGCTGCTGCTGATTGGGGGGCCCCCCTGTGCATCAGGGGGCCCCCCTGGCATTCAAGAACTGAAGCTTGGAGTTAATTCTTCTTTTGCAGATTTGTTTTATTTTTGTTTAAAAGAAAATGAAAACATCTTTTTAGTGTTTAGGGTTTGGAGCTGAAGGCTGGGGGTTTGGCTGTCAGCAGAGGGCTGCTTGTGTTTCTCACCAAACCCTAAACCCTAAACCCTAAACCCTAAACCCTTCGCACAAACCCTGCAGACCCACGGTGTGGGGCCTCGAAAGAAGCGTCTTCTCGTCTCCATTGAATCTAAAAGGGTTTTGAATTCTCTTTTTCTTTTTTATTTCCAAAAACTCCTTTAATTGCTTTCCTTGCTTGGGGGCCCCCCGGGGGCCCCCGTACCCTCTCAGCCGCGGCCAAACCCTTAACTATGGAGCGCCTTCGGGGGCATCTCATAGAAGGCACAAACCCTCCTTTCCTCGTTGACTTCTTCAAAAACTTGCCCAAAAGAAATAAACCCAAAAGGGGGGCCCCCCGACCCGGGGGGGCCCCCAGACCCAGGGGGGCCCCCCAACCCGCCGGGGCCCCCAGTACCCAGGGGCCCCCCTTAGGGGGGCCCCCACCCACGGGGGCCCCCAGCCCCCAGGGGCCCCAGGGGCCCCAGAAGCCCCAGGGGCCCCAGGGGCCCCAGGGGCCCCAGGGGCCCCAGGGGCCCCAGGGGCCCCAGGGGCCCCCGGGGCCACTGGGGGCCCCCTTAGGGGGGCCCCCCTTGGGGGCCCCCTGTTGCAGTGGAAATATGGAAAATGATTTTGTGTTTTTTTTGTCTCATTTTCACTCGGACCATTATGGGGGTCTTGGGAGGCACTGGAAGAGGGGCCCCATTTGGTGCTCAAGTGTTACAGGTAAAGCTAGGGTTTAGGGTTTAGGGTTTAGGGTTTAGGGTTTAGGGTTTGGGGTTTGGGGTTTGGGGTTTGGGGTTTGGGGTTTGGGGTTTATTGCGGCTACCCGTAGCACCACAGCCAGACGTAGCCGTGGACCATGAGGGGCCAACTGGCTGGCACCTATCCCCTAGGGTTTAGGGTTTAGGGTTTAGGGTTTAGGGTTTAGGGTTTGTGGTTTAGGGAATTTAATAGAACAAATACTGAAGGTCCCTCCCCACATGGTGATGCGGCTGCCCATGGGCCAGCCAGTGAAGGTCCAGGGGGTTTACGTGACTCTAATAGAGGCCAACCACTGTCCCGGTAAACCCTAAACCCTAAACCCTAAACCCTAAACCCTAAACCATAGGTGGCTCTTGCCGAAGCGCCGGAAAAAACTCTCAGCCCTCAGGGCCGCGCAGCAGCAAAGCACGCAGGGCTGTTCTCGGGGCTGAAACTCAGAGCTAGGGTTTAGGGTTTAGGGTTTAGGGTTTAGGGTTTAGGGTTTAGGGTTTGGGCCTTCTCAGGAGCTGTGATGTTTCTCTTTGAGGGCCCCGGCGTGGGCCGCTCGCTGCACTGCGGGGACTTTCGCTACTGCCCCTCGATGCTGCAAACCCTAAACCCTAAACCCCCGCCGGGCCCCGAGGCCCAAACCCTAAACCCTAAACCCTCGCTCGACAGGGTTTATCTCGACACAACTTACGCTGGCATCAAAGCCTCTTTTCCTCCGCAGCAAGAGGTGTTATCTGCTGCTGTGCAAATAGCCACGCAGGTGCGCCCTAGGGTTTAGGGTTTAGGGTTTAGGGTTTAGGGTTTAGGATTTTAGGCGTGCGGACTCGGCCTGCTTTGGAGCTGTGAAAACCACCAAACCCTAAACCCTAAACCCTAAACCCTAAACCGCTCGGCTGCTTCGCTTCAGGCACTACAGGAGGCCGGGGGTGCTTCCAACGTGCGCTTCTTGGTTGGCACTTACACCATAGGTCCGCCTAGGGTTTAGGGTTTAGGGTTTAGGGTTTAGCTCAAGGGTTTAGGAATTAGGGTTTAGGGTTTGCCGCTTCCAGAGCTGAGGCTGGCCCTACTAGGCACGGGAGAGGCGCAGCGCCAGCCACCAGGGACTCAGGGCTTAGAGCTCTGGTTTTAGGGTTTAGGGTTTAGGGTTTAGGGTTTAGGGTTTAGGGTTTGTGAACAGGCAAGGAACGCATAGCGCTGCATTTGGCTCGGGAGTGCCGCTTGAGGGTTTTCGTGGCGCCGCAGCGACGGCGGGTTTTCAACTGCCTTGAATTCTCTCCAGAGGTTGAAAACCCTAAACCCTAAACCCTAAACCCTAAACCCTAAACCCTAGGCAATAAGCTCCCGGGGACAGCTATCCTTCGGCTGCAAATTCGGTGCAAAGAGCGGCACTGTTATGAGTTTTGGTTTGTTGCAGAGGCCTAGCACTTGAGGCCGAGGGTTTAGGGTTTAGGATTGGGGTTTAGGGTTTAGGGTTTAGGGTTTAGGGTTTGTGGGGTTCAGGACTTGGCGCTTTTCACGGAATCTCCACAAGACGCGCAGGTAGATTTGGTGCCGATGAATGTCTGCGGTAAACCCTAAACCCTAAACCCTGAACCGCAAACCTCAAACCCTAAACCCCAAACCCTAAACCCCAAACTCTAAACCCTCAGACACTAAACCCTAGAACCCTAAACTCTCCTTGATGAGCCACGCTTCATGGGCTTTTTTCCTTCAGAGACGCAGCGCCAAACCCTTCACATATTCAAATTAGGGTTTAGGGTTTAGGGTTTAGGGTTTAGGGTTTGGAATCGGCAGGCTCGACATTTCCCCCGCGGGGGAACTTCGAAGGAATTCGCCGCTATCTTCAAACCCTCGGGATTCCTGAGTCAACGCGCGTTGTGGGTAGGTCTAGGGTTTAGGGTTTAGGGTTTAGGGTTTAGGGTTTAGGGTTTAGGGTTGGGGTGCAGCTCCGGGCAAACCCTCTTTCCAAGCTCTTTAGACCAGAGCCCTGAAATAATGGTAAAGAGGTTGCTGTTTAAGGTCAAGACTAAATGTTTAGGGTTTAGGGTTTAGGGTTTAGGGTTTAGGGTTTGTGTGTTGTAGCTTTTGTGGGGACTGGATGGGCCGCTCGACTGAAGAAGACCTCCCTGTGAGGCATTTGGAAATACTTTAAAAATTAGGGTTTAGGGTTTAGGGTTTAGGGTTTAGGGTTTTGATGCAGCAGTAGTCTGGGCTAGTTCTAAGGTGCAGGGACAAGGCTTGAAGCTGCAAACCCTAAACCCTAAACCCTAAAGCCTGTGAAGTGCGCCCGAGGGGTGATGTCGTGATGCTGCTGCCACAAACCCTAAACCCTAAACCCTAAACCCTAAACCCTTGTTTTGTGCTGCAGCGAGCAAGGGCCCCTCTGCATTCGCTTTTTGCCCTACAGCGAACACTCGAGTTGTGCAGAGCTGGTGGAGTTCCTGCAGGGTCTAAACCCTAAAGAAGTGGTGCCTAAACCCTAAACCCTAAACCCTAAACCCTAAACCCTAAACCCTAGATTGTGAGGCTCAGTGCTGAGGCGCAGGCATGAAAGCGGCCGGCACTGATAGCTGCGGAGTCGCCACTCCTGCACCCAAATTAGGGTTTAGGGTTTTTAAATCAGGGTTTTAAAATTAGGGTTTTAAAATTAGGGTTTAGGGTTTAGGGTTTGTGTGCGCAGATACCTACGGTGTGTGGAGAAGGCGAGGATTCCTACAATCGCCTTTACTGCTTCTTCAACGGACTGGTGCGGCCTCGACTCCTAAACCCTAAACCCTAAACCCTAAACCCTAAACCCTAAACCCTAAACCCTGTTGGAGGAACAGCCGTCCCACTGAACAACAACAACAACAACGAAAAGAATAAACAATAAATAAATAGTAGTAATAATAAATAATAAATAATAATAAATAACAAATTATAATAAATAATAATAAATAGTAATATGAACAAAAAGGAAATAATAATAATCAATTAAAATCACAAATGCCCGCTGCAGCGGCTCCGGTGTCTGCGCAGCTTTCAGGTGTACGTACACCCGAGCTGCAAGGCAAGGAAGAGAAAACAGCAGCAGCAGCAGCAGGAGCAGCAGCAGCAGGAGCAGCAGCAGCAGCAGCAGGAGCTGCAGCAGCAGCAGCAGGCAGCTGCTTTTCAGAGACGCAGCAGCGACTGAAGCGGCCCTTCGTAACAGCAGCAGCAGCAGCAGCAGCAGCAGCAGCAGCAGCGGGAGCAGCAACAGCAGCAGCAGCAGCAAACAGAACAAAACGAGTTTCCTTGACGCAAACAACTATAACTGCTTTCTTCAAAAATGAAATTCAAAAAAACAAAATACAAAAAAGAGAAACAAAAGAAAAACAAATGCTTCCAAACGGAGAGCCTATCCTCCTCAGTGACTGATCTGCCCGCAGCAGCAGCAGCAGCAGCAGCAGCAGCCGCAGCGCCAGCAGCAGCAGCAACAGCAGCAGCAGCAGCAGCAGCAGCAGCAGCAGCAGCAGCGTGCCACTTGTTTTGGCACCGGCGAAGGCATTTCCCGTGAGGGGCCCCAAACCCTTCTTTAATTTTTTGAGTAATATTTCATCCAATTTATTCAATTAGCAACAGCAGCAGCAGCAGCAGCAACAGCAGCAGCAGCAGCAGCAGCAGCAACAGCATCAGCAGCAGCAACAGCGCCCCTGCAGTTAGCACTTAAGACTACTAGATTCGCAGCAACGGCAGCAGCAGCAGCAGCAACAGCAGCAGCATCAGCAGCAGCAACAGCAGCAGCAGCAGCAGCAACAGCATCAGCAGCAGCAACAGCGCCCCTGCAGTTAGCACTTAAGACTACTAGATTCGCAGCAACGGCAGCAGCAGCAGCAGCAACAACAGCAGCAGCAGCAGCAAGAGCGCCCCTGCTGTTAACACTTAGGACTATTTAGTCACCGCAGTTGCGGCAGAAACAGCAGCAGCAGCTGCTGCTGCTGCTGCTGCACCGGACGCTGCTGCTGCTGCTGCTGCTGCTGCTGCTGCTGCTGCTTTATCTAGTGCTGCTGCTCCCGTTAGGGAAGCTGCTGCTGTTGATACAGCCGCTGCTTCTAGCGCTGCTGCTGCTGCTGCTGCTGCTGCTGCTGCTGATCCTAGCGCCGCTGCTGCTGCTGCCGCTGCTGCTACTGTTGCTGCTGCGAGTAATACTGCTGTTGCTGCTGCTCCTGTCGCCGCTGCTGCTAGTGCTGCTGCTACTGGTGCTGCTGCTACTCCTACTGCTGCTGCTGCTGCTACTTCTGCTGCTGCTGCTGCTGCTGCTGCTACTTCTGCTGCTGCTGCTGCTGCTACTTCTGCTGCTGCTGCTGCTGCTGCTGCAACCCCAATGAGAAAGAAATACGTAGGGTCTGGTGCTGGGGTACTTGAAAGCCCCTAATCGGTTTGCTGCTTAGGGTATATTGACAGCAGCAGCAGCAGCAGCAGCTGCTGCTGCTGCTTCCGCTGTGCTTCCTGCTGCAGCAACTGTGCTGCTGCTGCTGTGCTTCCTCCTGCAGCAGCAGGTGCTGCTGCTGCTACACATCCTGATGCAGCAGCAGCTGCTGCTGTGTTCCCTGCAGCTGCAGCAGCTCTTGCTGCTGCTGCTGCAGCGCCAGGCCGCACTCACCCCTCGCAGCAAACACACTGCAGCAGCACCTGATGCTGCAGCAGCACTAACAGGCGATCAGCTGCAGCAGCCGCCTCGCTTGCTGGGCCGTGACTGCATGCTGCGGCTGTTGTCCTCATCCACCTGCGCACCCAAACCCTAAACCCTAAACCCTAAACCCTAAACCCTAAACCCTAACCCTAAACTCTAAACCCTCGCGAACTCTCTCGAGTTTAACTGGGGCTGTTTGCCGGACCTTCTGAGGGTTTGTCTTCAAGCACACCCTGAACCCTAGCGCTAAACCCCCGGGGACTTCCCCAGAAGACACTTTCCCTAGGGTTTCAAAAAAGGGTTTAGGGTTTAGGGTTTAGGGTTTAGGTTAGGGTTTAGGGTTTAGGACTTGCCTGAATTTTCTGGCCTCTGCCCGGCTGCGTAACAGCTCCCTGAGGGTTATCATCGATTTGCTTCTTTTGCCTCAGCAAGTATATTTCTGCAAAACCCCTAAACCCTAAACCCTAAACCCTAAACCCTAAACCCTAAACCCTAAACCCTAATCCGCAGACGCCTCGCGTCTCACCCGGCCCCAACCCCCAACCCCCCCCGAAACCCTCCACGCCCCCGT